TTGGTAATGCGCGGGCGAACGTGCGCGACCTCCTTCTGAAACTTGGTATCTTCCTGCGGACTCAGCGACAGGAGCGGCCCCGCCGGGACAACTAGACCCGCCAGGCTGAAAGCTCCCAAACACAAGCGCTCCACCTATTATGAACTTTTTAAATTTAGATAAACAAGGCTCCAACACGGCGGAGTGATTCTGGCACTCCGAAACACAATCCACATATGCTAAAGTTACCTGGAAAGGTCCACTGACTGGGTTATGGAATGGGCCCAACCCTGTGTTAATGTGGGGTCGAGGACATGTTTGTGTTTTTTCACAGGATCAAGATGGTGCTTGATGGCTTCCGGAACGCCTGGTATGGGTTGTGGATACTCCGCGAGAGCAGGTTGATGCTACTCTTACGGATTCATCTGAGCCGGATGAAACTCGATGAGGCAGAAGTATATTGGACCTCCATACCTGACCCACCCCTGCTGCTATGGGAACAACATCAAATCCCTGTGTTGTGAGGCAACCCTCATTTGTTATGCTTCCAGTAAATATTTCTGAAGACTGGTATGACAAAAAAGGGCTCCAAGTCCTGAAAGAAATTAGCATACCAATGGATATGTATTACCCCTAAGTTGTATAATGAAACTCACTGTGATTGGGAAAAGGTCAAACAACATTTCCTAGGAATATGGCGGGAAGCCAATGAAACTATAGATGTCCTTGAGCTTCACTGTGAAATTATGGAAATGGAAAAGGCACGTACCTCCCCCTTCAGTGCAGCTAAAGAGGCAGATCAGTTGTTACAACAACTGTATAACCTCTTACCCCATTGGACGTTGTGGCAACAATGGATAAAGCCAGTTGTCGCAGTAGCAGGCGTGTGGCTTACACTCTTGTTGTGCCCCCTGTTTTGTGCGTGTGCTTGGGTGCTCTTTTTTGGGAGTGCGTTCAGAAATCCATCGTCTGAAGCTTCAAGTCAAAGCTCTGGATTCAGAGGCTGGTAGACAGTGATGGGTAAGATCCTTGGGACGTTTCCCCAACCTAAGACAGGGAATGTATGTAAACATAATTACCCCAGGACGGGTAAGGGGAAAACGTCGTCAGGGACAACTTAAGACAGGCACAGTCTGCTGGTCGAGTGTAGGGTGCATCTTTTAATAAATAAGGAAGGGGGAGATGTGGGGAGCCAAGATGGGACTCAAGGTAGTGCAAGATGTAATCATAAATATGAAACAGTCAGGGCCATTTTCCAGGTATAACTTTTTGTGACTGTAATGTGATGTGCAAAATGTTTTGAAACGTTGTTGCAACAGCCTGATAAGAGCAGAGGAACCTTGAGTCTTAAGTCAAGAAAGCCAGCTGGGGATTGTTTAAGTATCAGCGGAAAAATAAACTCTGTGCTGATCAGTATTGACTGGCATCGTTTCTATCCTGTCATCTTGTCTTCTTTAATCCTCACCCTCTAACTCAGGAGCTCAGGAGCTGTTCTTGCCATTGGTGGTCCAATAGTATCATTATTTAAATTTGATGAGAGAGGGAGGGAGGGAGAGAGAGACAGAGAGAGAATGTGAGAAAGCAAGCCACCAGGTTCAAGGACTTGAACCACGGTTGGCCATGTTAGAGTCCAGTATCTTAACCACCCTGTCACCTGCCAGCTCCCAGAGCATCACTTTTTACCACATTTTACCACTCTTCCACTGTCCAGTTCCTGGACGTAGTTTCCTTAACTAAAAAAAGATTATGGGACCAGCTGTTAGTGTAATGGCTATGTCACTGGACTCCCATGTAGTCGGCAGCAGTTCAAGTCCCAGATCCGGTGGCTTAAACTCACACCAGGCGCGTGTGCATGCATGCCCAAGATCCCAAGAGGAGAATGGAGGAGAGGGGATTGTGGCGTGGCCACTCCCCCTGGGGGGTGATTTCTTGCTTTCTGTCTCTCTGTCTATCTCTGTTTTTCTGGCGAGTGCACATGCCCTATAGCAAAAACCTCTCCAAAAAAATTTTACCAGGAGGCACATGCACTCCCAATTCTTTCTCCTTCTTTAGGGACTCTGGGTTCACACGCAAATGTGCCCTCTGTGTTTTCAAGCCTCATAGGTCTAGGACTTGAACTACTCAGTCAGCTATGTGGGATTGAGACACCTTAACTACCATGCCACCAACTAGCCTGATTTGGTTACTTTTACTTAACAGTATGCATTTAAGTTTCCTCCTTTTCTTTTTTTTTTTTTTAAGTCATGCTTTTTTTTTTTTTTTCCTCCATGAGAGTTGAAAGAGAGAGAGGCACTCCCAACAAGATCTTCACATAGTTAGCCTGCAGCTTTAGCCAGCCAGGATCACAAACACGTGCACACCAGGTGTGTCCAGAGAGCCCTCAAGATGAGAACCTGGGGAACCAGCAGGTTAGCGTAATGGCTATGTTGCTGGACTCCCACGTAGTTGACCGTGGTT